CGGGCAGTCTCGCCGACCATGACGAGACTGGCGCTGACGAGGAGTTGTTTGTGGATGATCTGGATGAGGAGGAGGTGGATGATGATGATGACGACGTTGATGTTGATTCCCTTGACGATTATCTACTGGCTGGAATTGGCTTGCACGAGGCGAGTGGGCCAAATCAGGTTGGTGGCAATATCAATTGTAATAATGGTCAGGAGGCCAAAGAGAATGCTGCCACTGTGCTGGCGCGTGCGATGCACGCAATGCTGGCCCAGGAGCAGCAAATGCACAAGCAGCAGAGGCAGCAGGATGAGCAGCAGCAGCTGCTAAAAAAACTCGAGATGCACAATGAGGCGCTAATCTCGAACAAGAGGCCAGCTAGTAATCAGGGAAATAGCCCTAAATCAAAGACATTAAAATCAAATTCGAAATCTAATAAGAAAATGGCGGCAAAAAAGGACGCCAACTTCGGCAATAGCTTTCAGCTACTATCGGAAGCTGATTGCTCCAACAAGCTCCACAACAACAGCAACAACAGCGTCAATAGCAGCGACATCACCACCATCGATGATGACGAGCTGCTGAAAGTTCTGCAGAGATGCGAACAATTGTCGAGTGATGGCGTTGGTGGCAATCCAACGTCATCTACTCGAGCAACTTTGTCAACTGCAAAAGCCACTTCAAATTCTGCTACAATTTCCACTGCAATTGTAGCCGATTCTTCAACCAAAAGCAAATCTAATTCCAAGTCTCAATCCAAGTCTCAATCCAAATCCAAGTTCAATTTGAAATTGAATATGGATTGCAATTCAGCTTCACAACAATCAGCAGCAGCTGATCATGATGAGATAGTCAGTCACTTATTCGCTGATGGATCCGATGAGTTTCCCTCTGCTGATGTAAATGAAATGCTGAATCATTTATTTAGCGGCAGCGAGGCTAATAAATGTATCAAGCCGCCACCTCCACTGTCTGCCTCGGCAGTGGCAACGTGCCGTAAAATGGCTGCCAGCAATGCACCAGCTAACCGAAAGCTGTCTGCAATGATTTTCAAAAAGCAACTGATTGTTGATGAAGATGCCCCGACCACATCTAAGAAAGCTGCCGCCATGGCAGCTGCGCGCAAATTGGTTGCTGCAAATCCTAACAAAGCTGCAACTGATCAGCGGCCAACAGATGGAGCCAATAATACAAACATCAACAGCAAGAGCAACAACAAGTGTCAATTGTCAATTGATGATGATGATGTTGATGCAAATGCTGTTAATGATATTGAAATGGATGAAGATCTCAATGACGATGACGATGAGGTGGATGAGGATGAGGTCATCGATGACAATGACAATGCCAATACGAATGCCAATGGCAATGTGAATGTGAATGGTAGTCGCAAGAATCGGCCAACACCATTGTACTTGCCGTTTGTGCCAGACATAATGCCAGTACTGGAGGGGATTAAGAAGGCGATCGGTACGGCAAATTTCTACACCAAACCGACAGCTGGGCAAGGTCTGCGCATTCAATGCGCCAATATTGCGGCATATCGCAAACTTGTGCATTACTTCGCTCAGGAGAGAATTGTATCGCACACCTATCAATTGGCAGCGGATCGAGGATTTAGATTTTGCATACGCTATCTGCATCGTTCGACGCCAACAGATTGGATTCGTCAACAACTGACAGATCTGGGCCATACGGTCAGATTTGTCAGTGTAATCAAGAAGCGATTCACTCGCCAGCCTCTTGACCTGTTCGAGGTTGAAGTGGTGGCCGCTCCAAACAGCACAAATGTTCTGAACATTGAGTGCTTGGGTGGCCAGAGAGTCAAAATCGAGAGGATATTGCGCAACGCCGATGCGGTGCAATGTCATCGATGTCAAAAATTCGGCCACACGAAGAACTATTGCCGCCGGCCATTCGTGTGCGTCAAGTGCAGCGGCAGCCATGCATCCACTGATTGCGGACGAGCAAAGGGCGATGTTAGCCAGTCGGCTAAATGCGCCAATTGTTTGGGAGAGCATGCGGCAAGCTATCGCGGCTGCATTGCTTTCAAAGAGGCCTGCAAGCAAAAGATGGCCAATCAACAAGGCTTCCAGCAAGCCTCAAAACTAGTCGCCGAATTGGCGCGTCAAACAAAAGCGACAGCGAATCCTCAGTCGTCAAATCGCAATAATAATAATGCTGCAACAGCGGCTATTATTAAAAGACACCTGAACAAGGCCACAAATGCTAGCAAACAGCTGCATATACTACAGCAGCAGCAGCAGCAGCAGCATCAGCAACTACTACAGCAGCAGCAGCATCAGCAACTACTACAGCAGCAGCAGCAGCAGCAGCAGCAGCCAATCAAGTCAAAGAAGAGGGCGAAGAAGAAGACTACACAACAACAGGTCAATCAGCTACAGTTCAATCAGCAGCCCAAGCAGCCCAAGCAGCCACTAAATCTGAGCAACGCTATGGTTGGCAGCTATGCCGACGCACTTAAACTTGGACTAAATGTGAAACAGCCAAGTGGTTGGCCGCAGCAGCGAATGCAGCAAAAGCAGCAAAAGCAGCAGCAACAGCAAATTCAACGCATTCAGCCTCAAAATATGCAGCAACTACAGCTGCAACTACTACTTCAACAGCAGCAAGTGCAGCAACAAGTACAGCAGCAGCAGCAGCAGCAGCAGCAGCAGCAGCAGCAGGTGCAGCAGCAGAGGCAGCAAGTGCAGCAACTCCTCCCGACTCATCAATATCTAGGTGCCAGGGATAATACGAGCAGTATGGAAATGAAGCTAGATCAATTGATTGGCCTAATGCTGCTCGAACGCAAGCATCCAAATGCAAATGCAAATTCAAATTCAATTGAGAATGCTAATTCAGCCATCAACAAGGCTATCGTCAACAAGCTGGATCGTCTAATAGATATGATGTCCGCGCTAACAACCTGCTTGTCTGCCAGCATTAGCAGTAGCAGGCAACAAATCGCAAATGAGACCTCAAATGATTCCTACACACAACTGTAAGCTAAAAATCCTATTCTGGAATGCAGCTGGCCTGCGCAACAAAATGGACAAGCTCGCTAATCATGCTCTGCTCAACGATATTGATATTATGTTAATATCCGAGACGCACTTTACTGATACTGATTCTATTCACATAAATGGATACCAAACTCACCTAGCTAACCATCCCTCTAATAAACGAAGAGGTGGTGTAGCACTAATAATAAAAAACCATATTTGTCATAAAGCAGCCTTCTTTATATCTACGAAGATGCTTCAATGCTCGGCTGTCACAATCTACATGGACAAAGGTCGACAGCTAATTATCTCTTCAATCTACTGTCCTCCACAGTTGAAATGGCGAGATGAAGATTTCACTAATCTAATGCAACTACATGGCACAAGCTTCATCGTAGCGGGTGATTGGAACGCCAAAAGCAACTGGTGGGGCAACGTCAGGTCTTGCGTTAGAGGCAGATCACTCTTAAAAAACGTTATTCATGATAGCAACAATAATAACGTACTTGCCACCGGCTCCTCCACTCATTTCCCATATAGTTCGCGTCAATCTCCTTCAGCTATCGACTTTGCAATCTATGGTGGGATAAAAAGAGAATTGATTAATATAAAAGACTCAATCTCTAGCGAATTAATCTCAGACCACTTGCCGCTCACAATCGAGCTGATTGATAAGAAAACGTTGCCAGCGCATTCAAAATCCAAATGCTACTTGCTGCCACTAAAAGCGGACACTGCCGTATTCCAGAAATGGCTTGATGATCATATCCTGCTAAACACAGAGATCAACAGCCATGAGGATGTAAACGATGCTGTCTGCTTACTGGAGCGTAATATTACTGATGCTGCCACCTATGCATCAAACTGTATGCAGTCGTCGAGTCAAATCCATGGCCGTAATCCAAATTGCAATCGCTATAATACCAACAATAGTCATATTAGTAATCAGACACTAACTATGATTAAAGGCAGAAATCTAATCAGAAAATACTTACTTAATAACCGAAATCGGATTGCCAAGTCCGTCTACAATAGGTTATCCACAGCCATCAGGTATGCCATCAAAGATGCTAGAAATAGAAAAATGGAAAAGCTAGTTAATTCTATTGACACGAACGATAGATATAGCATGGCAAAGCTATGGCGATTAACAAACAGCATCAAGCGACAGCCAAGTGCAAATCTGCCTATTAAAAAGTTTGTTGCCTCTACAAATGCAGATGGCAATAATGGTAGTATTTGCAATTGCAACTACACCAATTGCAACCATGCAACAAGCATCTGGTGTCGAACAAGCGAGGAAAGAGCTGAAGCTTTCGCTCAGCATCTGGAGAGCCGCTTCCAGGCAATTATGACTTGCAGCAGTGATGATCGAGCACTTGTTGAATCACATTGTCAACCTGATGATGATGTTGATGTCAATTGTGTGGATATTGTCTCCAGCAACGTCAGCAGCAGCAGCAATGGTATTACCAACAATACCCATTCAAGCAGCAACTTCTGTCCAATCCGAGTCCAGGAAGTGATGTCTATTATCAAAGGCCTAAAAACAAAGAAATCTCCAGGATTAGATGCAATTGATAATAGAACCATTAAAGCCCTACCAATGAAAGCGCTTCTATACCTAACCCTCATCTTTAACAGTGCGCTCCGATTGGGTCATTTTCCCGATCGCTGGAAGTGTGCCAAGATTAAAATGATTGCCAAGCCAGGAAAGCCTGCTCACGAGTTAAGCTCCTATAGGCCAATCAGTCTGCTATCTGGTCTCTCCAAAATCTTCGAGCTGCTGATATTTCGAAGATTAATGGATGTGCAGGCATTTAGTGAGTCAATACCTGACCATCAGTTTGGTTTCAGAAGTGAACACTCCACGGAACAGCAGCTGGGTCGTGTCACCAAATTCCTACTGGAAGCCTATGAAGACGGTAATTACTGCTCGGCGATATATCTGGATATCTCTGAGGCATTCGATCGCGTCTGGCATGCTGGGCTGCAATACAAATTAAAAAATTACTGCCCAAGGCACTTTTCAACATAATTTTCAGCTACTTATCCAATCGTTTGTTCCTCGTTGAATGCTCAGATTATGCCCAATCTAGCGTCAAACGGTTTGCCGCTGGTGTTCCTCAAGGTAGTGTACTAGCACCTATACTGTACACTATCTACACTGCTGACATCCCGCTGCCAAGGGTTAGTACATCTCGTTATGGTAGTCGTATGATGCTTGGCACTTACGCTGACGATACAGCCATATTATCGTCCAGCATCTGTCCAGTGCATTCCATTCTACTAATCAATCAATACCTTGGCTCCCTAGATGAATGGACCAAGAAGTGGTGTATATCTATAAATTACACTAAAACAATACATGTCCTGCACTCCCTGCGACGTGTCCAAGTTGACGATCGGCAGGCTGTCATCACGTGTGCAGGCAATAGAATTGCAAGTAAATCAAGTCATCGCTATTTGGGTGTGCAACTAGATGACAGGTTGCACTTACACACCCACATCACAACGCTGATTGGCAAGCTTCGAACAAGAAGCAAGCAATTAAACTGGCTGTTGAACGCAAACAGTAAACTGCCATTAAAAATTAAAATTATGTTTTACAAGCAATTAATTGCCCCAATATGGCAATATGCGTTGCCTGTCTGGGGCTCTCTGGTGACAGATCGCAGTTTCAGTCGCATTCAGGTCGCTCAAAACAAGATCCTCCGCTCCATTGCGGGAGCGCCATGGTACGTCAGTAATGACAATCTCCATTCTGATCTAAAAGTCAACTCAGTTGATTCCATATATGAAGTGATGTGTGCCAATTATGTGCGCCGGCTTCTTAACCACTCAAATTTGGCAGCACGGCAAATTGCCTCCGAGCCATTTGTGCCACAGCGTCTGCAGAGACAGCGATATACCTCAATGATCAATACTCACCTAAGCTCCATCGTTGCGAACGCAAGAAGAGAGCAAATATGGGCCAGAATCCGCTCGCAAAGAAACGCGGTTGGCTTCTCTAGAGATTGTGCGATTGCAAGTGCAAAATCTAGGGACATTGCGTTAGCCGCTGCGAAAATAAAAGCAAATGTTATCACTGAAGAAAACTTGGAAGCGAGTACTTGTATAACTATTGACTTAACTGATGACAACAGCTCTGGTTTCAGCCCTGATGCCGCCTCTCGTTGCATAGATGGTGCCACTGCTCCTACCACAACAGATGTCCATGCTGGTGCCCGTTCTGACTCAGTATCGGATGCCGTTGTTCACTGTGATGCCAACAGTGATGCTGATGTCATCATTATTGTTGATTCTGATTCCAACGCGGAAGAATCAGATGATGCTAATCCTGTGGCCTACACCGCTGCAATCAATACGTCTGCTAATGGTGCCAGCTCGATTGACGCGCTGCGCTGATTCCACCACCCCAGACGCCCCTGATGAAGATGTCGATGTCCATATCCATTGCAGTTGTGGATGCAACTGCAGTCAATGCAGCAGCTGGTGCTGGCCACCCAAGTGCCAGTGCTGTTGCTGATTACATGGCTGGTTCCACTGCCAGTCTCACTTTTAAAATTCCAGTTGATGCTGCAAGTAAACAACAGAATTAGAGTTGTACACACAATTGCTACTCTAAATATATACTCACCTGATGAATCCACTCCTACTACTTACCTGTACTCCTTGGATGTCCCGCTGGATGTCGCCACTGATCTGCTGCATCACTCCTTGAATGCCAGCCTCTGATGTTCGTGTTCGTCCCCCCTCCACCGGTCGAGCAGCCATCACATGAAAAACAACCTGTAAATATAGTACAACACATACACACACACACAAATATTAGTAGTATTATTAGTCAGTTTCTTTTCATTAGCAGTATTTTAGTATAGTTAGTATTTAGTTTAATTTAATTAATCACTATTAATGTTAATTCGCTCATTTTTTGATTGTAGCTATTAGTTTTTTGATTTTTCGCGCAACGCAATTTCTTGTAGATTTACACATTCATTCACTCACTCATACACACACACACACTTGTACATACACACTTTACATTCGCATTTATGTTAAGTAGTTTAATTAGATATGGCAGCCCTGCGCGGCTGTTAATATCATTGTTTAGCCAGTTGAGCCCTGTTAGATAACATTCTCTTAATTTTGGGCGCCAATTCATTCCATTCAAAATACTAGGTATAATAATGGGATAGATATGGATTCTAGCGACTGTCTAGCGCCTACCCATTCGGCCATCTACCGGCTGTTGCTGGTGAGATTCTCGCCATCACAGTCGGTGGACAATTGATTTGCTCAAAGCTTTTCCCCGTCTCCGGTTCCATTTCCATTTCCATTTCCAATTGGAATTGGAATTGGGATCGGGGATTGGAACTGCTTTGAGTAAATCGGCCGAATCGGTACTCAAAAATCTGGTGGAGGCGCTGGGCAGTCCAGTTTCCCTGGAGTCGTCCGAGTGAGCGGCAGCGAGTGCGCACCGAGCCGAGTGTCGATCCGACTTAGAGTTTCGTGCGTGTGCGGCAGTGGAGCCCCCGGCAGACGCCGCCATCCGGGCCGTCTAGAGATCAATCTAGACATACGGACAAAAATCTGAAAATATAAAAGTCAATAATTACATGAATAAATCGCAGCCAATAATTAAAAGTGAAAATCTAGTGTTTTTTCTTTTTGTTTTTGTGAATTATTCAAAACTGCTATTAATCCGAGACAGAGACTCCAACAACTATTACTGCTAAATTTAGTGGATATTTCTACTAGTGACATCTAACAATCTAATAACTGTCGGCGTACGTGTGTCCAGTGGCCTAATCAAACGATCATGTACAACGCACTCTCGGGCAGTCTCGCCGACCATGACGAGACTGGCGCTGACGAGGAGTTGTTTGTGGATGATCTGGATGAGGAGGAGGTGGATGATGATGATGACGACGTTGATGTTGATTCCCTTGACGATTATCTACTGGCTGGAATTGGCTTGCACGAGGCGAGTGGGCCAAATCAGGTTGGTGGCAATATCAATTGTAATAATGGTCAGGAGGCCAAAGAGAATGCTGCCACTGTGCTGGCGCGTGCGATGCACGCAATGCTGGCCCAGGAGCAGCAAATGCACAAGCAGCAGAGGCAGCAGGATGAGCAGCAGCAGCTGCTACAAAAACTCGAGATGCACAATGAGGCGCTAATCTCGAACAAGAGGCCAGCTAGTAATCAGGGAAATAGCCCTAAATCAAAGACATTAAAATCAAATTCGAAATCTAATAAGAAAATGGCGGCAAAAAAGGACGCCAACTTCGGCAATAGCTTTCAGCTACTATCGGAAGCTGATTGCTCCAACAAGCTCCACAACAACAGCAACAACAGCGTCAATAGCAGCGACATCACCACCATCGATGATGACGAGCTGCTGAAAGTTCTGCAGAGATGCGAACAATTGTCGAGTGATGGCGTTGGTGGCAATCCAACGTCATCTACTCGAGCAACTTTGTCAACTGCAAAAGCCACTTCAAATTCTGCTACAATTTCCACTGCAATTGTAGCCGATTCTTCAACCAAAAGCAAATCTAATTCCAAGTCTCAATCCAAGTCTCAATCCAAATCCAAGTTCAATTTGAAATTGAATATGGATTGCAATTCGGCTTCACAACAATCAGCAGCAGCTGATCATGATGAGATAGTCAGTCACTTATTCGCTGATGGATCCGATGAGTTTCCCTCTGCTGATGTAAATGAAATGCTGAATCATTTATTTAGCGGCAGCGAGGCTAATAAATGTATCAAGCCGCCACCTCCACTGTCTGCCTCGGCAGTGGCAACGTGCCGTAAAATGGCTGCCAGCAATGCACCAGCTAACCGAAAGCTGTCTGCAATGATTTTCAAAAAGCAACTGATTGTTGATGAAGATGCCCCGACCACATCTAAGAAAGCTGCCGCCATGGCAGCTGCGCGCAAATTGGTTGCTGCAAATCCTAACAAAGCTGCAACTGATCAGCGGCCAACAGATGGAGCCAATAATACAAACATCAACAGCAAGAGCAACAACAAGTGTCAATTGTCAATTGATGATGATGATGTTGATGCAAATGCTGTTAATGATATTGAAATGGATGAAGATCTCAATGACGATGACGATGAGGTGGATGAGGATGAGGTCATCGATGACAATGACAATGCCAATACGAATGCCAATGGCAATGTGAATGTGAATGGTAGTCGCAAGAATCGGCCAACACCATTGTACTTGCCGTTTGTGCCAGACATAATGCCAGTACTGGAGGGGATTAAGAAGGCGATCGGTACGGCAAATTTCTACACCAAACCGACAGCTGGGCAAGGTCTGCGCATTCAATGCGCCAATATTGCGGCATATCGCAAACTTGTGCATTACTTCGCTCAGGAGAGAATTGTATCGCACACCTATCAATTGGCAGCGGATCGAGGATTTAGATTTTGCATACGCTATCTGCATCGTTCGACGCCAACAGATTGGATTCGTCAACAACTGACAGATCTGGGCCATACGGTCAGATTTGTCAGTGTAATCAAGAAGCGATTCACTCGCCAGCCTCTTGACCTGTTCGAGGTTGAAGTGGTGGCCGCTCCAAACAGCACAAATGTTCTGAACATTGAGTGCTTGGGTGGCCAGAGAGTCAAAATCGAGAGGATATTGCGCAACGCCGATGCGGTGCAATGTCATCGATGTCAAAAATTCGGCCACACGAAGAACTATTGCCGCCGGCCATTCGTGTGCGTCAAGTGCAGCGGCAGCCATGCATCCACTGATTGCGGACGAGCAAAGGGCGATGTTAGCCAGTCGGCTAAATGCGCCAATTGTTTGGGAGAGCATGCGGCAAGCTATCGCGGCTGCATTGCTTTCAAAGAGGCCTGCAAGCAAAAGATGGCCAATCAACAAGGCTTCCAGCAAGCCTCAAAACTAGTCGCCGAATTGGCGCGTCAAACAAAAGCGACAGCGAATCCTCAGTCGTCAAATCGCAATAATAATAATGCTGCAACAGCGGCTATTATTAAAAGACACCTGAACAAGGCCACAAATGCTAGCAAACAGCTGCATATACTACAGCAGCAGCAGCAGCAGCAGCATCAGCAACTACTACAGCAGCAGCAGCATCAGCAACTACTACAGCAGCAGCAGCAGCAGCAGCAGCAGCCAATCAAGTCAAAGAAGAGGGCGAAGAAGAAGACTACACAACAACAGGTCAATCAGCTACAGTTCAATCAGCAGCCCAAGCAGCCCAAGCAGCCACTAAATCTGAGCAACGCTATGGTTGGCAGCTATGCCGACGCACTTAAACTTGGACTAAATGTGAAACAGCCAAGTGGTTGGCCGCAGCAGCGAATGCAGCAAAAGCAGCAAAAAGCAGCAGCAACAGCAAATTCAACGCATTCAGCCTCAAAATATGCAGCAACTACAGCTGCAACTACTACTTCAACAGCAGCAAGTGCAGCAACAAGTACAGCAGCAGCAGCAGCAGCAGCAGCAGCAGCAGCAGCAGCAGCAGCAGCAGGTGCAGCAGCAGAGGCAGCAAGTGCAGCAACTCCTCCCGACTCATCAATATCTAGGTGCCAGGGATAATACGAGCAGTATGGAAATGAAGCTAGATCAATTGATTGGCCTAATGCTGCTCGAACGCAAGCATCCAAATGCAAATGCAAATTCAAATTCAATTGAGAATGCTAATTCAGCCATCAACAAGGCTATCGTCAACAAGCTGGATCGTCTAATAGATATGATGTCCGCGCTAACAACCTGCTTGTCTGCCAGCATTAGCAGTAGCAGGCAACAAATCGCAAATGAGACCTCAAATGATTCCTACACACAACTGTAAGCTAAAAATCCTATTCTGGAATGCAGCTGGCCTGCGCAACAAAATGGACAAGCTCGCTAATCATGCTCTGCTCAACGATATTGATATTATGTTAATATCCGAGACGCACTTTACTGATACTGATTCTATTCACATAAATGGATACCAAACTCACCTAGCTAACCATCCCTCTAATAAACGAAGAGGTGGTGTAGCACTAATAATAAAAAACCATATTTGTCATAAAGCAGCCTTCTTTATATCTACGAAGATGCTTCAATGCTCGGCTGTCACAATCTACATGGACAAAGGTCGACAGCTAATTATCTCTTCAATCTACTGTCCTCCACAGTTGAAATGGCGAGATGAAGATTTCACTAATCTAATGCAACTACATGGCACAAGCTTCATCGTAGCGGGTGATTGGAACGCCAAAAGCAACTGGTGGGGCAACGTCAGGTCTTGCGTTAGAGGCAGATCACTCTTAAAAAACGTTATTCATGATAGCAACAATAATAACGTACTTGCCACCGGCTCCTCCACTCATTTCCCATATAGTTCGCGTCAATCTCCTTCAGCTATCGACTTTGCAATCTATGGTGGGATAAAAAGAGAATTGATTAATATAAAAGACTCAATCTCTAGCGAATTAATCTCAGACCACTTGCCGCTCACAATCGAGCTGATTGATAAGAAAACGTTGCCAGCGCATTCAAAATCCAAATGCTACTTGCTGCCACTAAAAGCGGACACTGCCGTATTCCAGAAATGGCTTGATGATCATATCCTGCTAAACACAGAGATCAACAGCCATGAGGATGTAAACGATGCTGTCTGCTTACTGGAGCGTAATATTACTGATGCTGCCACCTATGCATCAAACTGTATGCAGTCGTCGAGTCAAATCCATGGCCGTAATCCAAATTGCAATCGCTATAATACCAACAATAGTCATATTAGTAATCAGACACTAACTATGATTAAAGGCAGAAATCTA